TTTTTCTGTGTGTGTGTGTGTGTGTGTGTGTGTGTGTGTGTGTGTAGATTCTTTCAATGCATGTGTCTATTTCATGATGAGTGATTTACATGCTCACCTGTCCACGCCATGCTGAATGTTCGCAGTTTTTGACCCAAAATGGTATGACCCCCATACCTCACCCTCCCTATTCACCTGCTCTAACCCTGAGTGATATTTTTTTGTTTGTTTGCTTCCCTGGTGAAATAAGTCCTCACAGAGAAATGTTCTGTGGATGTGGAAGAGGTGAAACAAAAAACGGCAGAAGCACTAAAAGGCATCAACATTCATGAACTCAAAAACTGTTTTGAGCAGTGGAAAAAGCATCTTGATAGGTGTATTGCATCAAATGGAGAGGACATTGAAGATACTGAAGTTTAAACACAGAAGAATAAGTACACACTTTTTTTTACAAATAAATTCTGGATTTTTGGGGTCCCCCCTCATCTATTCCCTAGCTCTCTCTCTCCACTAAGATGTCCCAATATTAATGAGCACCTCTAGCATTGAGATCTTGACTTCTAAATACCATTGTCCACTACAAAGGACAAAGGCCTCTAGGAGATGTGGCTGGCTCCCTATCTAGAGCAGAAAATGAGCAAGATGAGCCTAAACCAGTTGTGCTTAAAGCAAGGAATTTCTCAAGGCATTATGGGAACATATTAAAAGAACACAGTCATCTGCCTGAAGAAGCTCCACTGGCCATACTGGGCAATTTGAGAATCAAAATAAATAAATTATATAGGATAACATAGGAAACCAGGAATCTTTACAGATATAAAATGGTAAGTGAGAAGTTTGATATATACATAGCTCAAAATACTTCCCTACAAAAATTAACTTTACAAAATATTAACTAATTTAAAAGGAAAGAGGCACTTTATAGTGGGGAAGCCTGGCAGACGCCATCTTTTTTATTTTTATTTTTTGAGTTGGAGTCTCATTCTGTTGCCCAGACTGGAGTGCGGTGGCATGCTCCTGGCCACCGCAGCCTCGACTTGCTGGGCTCCAGCGATCCTTTCGCCTCAGCTTTCCAAATAGCTGGAACTACAGGTGCGCACTACCATGCCCGGCTAATTTTTTATTTATTGTAGAGATGAGGTCTCACCAAGTTGCCTGGGCAGGTCTCGAACCCATGGGCTCAGGCAATCCACTCAGATCTCAGCCTCCCAAAGCGCTGGGATGACAGGCTGAGCCACTGAGCCTGGCTCACATGCCATCTTAATCAAACCAAAATGAACATCATCAGTACCATGACAAATTGGAATCATGCACCACCTGATAGGAAGGAATGAGAACACAGTATCACGTTTGTGATATTCCTGAATCTAATTGTGAGGAGATATTGGACAAGCCCAAATGGAAGGGTGGTTTACAAAATAACTGGCCTGTAAGCTTCACACATGTCCAGGTCATGAAAGTCGAGGAAAGATTGAGGAACCATTTGAGACTGGAAGTGACTAAAGAGACATGACCAAATGCAACACAGAATTCTGAACTGGATCCTTTTGCTACGAAGGTCTTTATTGGGACAACTGGTGGCTTGCTAGCAATCTTGGGTACTCCTTGGCCTGTGAATGCATTGCCCAAATCTTTGCCTCCACATTCCCATGGCCTTTTCCCTGTGTGCATGTCTATCTGTATCCAAATTCCCCCTTTTCATGAGGACACCAGTCAGAGTGGATTAGAGCCCACACAAATGACCTTCTCTTAACTTGATCTCATCAGTCAAGACTTTATTTCCATAGAAGGTCACATTCACAAGTATTGGGGTGATGACATCAGCATTTTTTGTTGGGGGGGGCACAATTCAACCCACAGCAGTCCTGCTTTAATTTTGGAAAGCCACTGGATTGATAATAATGGCCAATGCCTCTTGAACACTCAGTCAGTGCCAGATGCTGTCCTGAGGTCATGGGCTCAGTCAAGCATCTTGGGGATACAGATGAGGAAACTGGGGCAGAGAGGTGAGGGAACTTGTTACGTGTGGTAAGCAGGTATCAGAAACAATATTCAAACCAGATGTGGAGCCCCCATGCCTAAGCGCCTGAGTTAAAGAGGGAAGAGGCTAGGAAGGAAAGAAGGAATGGAAGAAGTGAAGGGATACAGGGTGCATGAGGGTGAAAAGGGACACAGCAGGGTTGGTGGCAAACCAAGACACACACGCACAGTCAACCCATCAGTCCATCAGCAAGCATTTATCAGGCATTTATATTCTCGCTTGCATGCTTCACTTGGCTCTGAGAGATAGATCACAATTTAGGCAAAGTTCCCACTTCCACAGAGCTAACCATCTGGTGGGGGGGGGTGAAGGGGTGCAGTCATCAAGGAGCAGCTAAGTGGCTTTGGTCTCAATCACCACATTCATTTTGGCCATCTGGATATTGGACACGATGGCTCTGATGGTCAGAGAGTTGTGTTCCAGCTCCAGGGTCTCCTGAGGGACCCACAGGACACATTTTGCCACCTTCAGCTCCTGGGACCCCTTCTTCTGAATGATGCTATCAGAGACACGCTCCAGGTGGTCACTGGCGATCGGCCCAGGTAGGATGGCCAAGGCAAACTCGATGCCATGAAGGGCGTGGCTGAAGGGAGTGGAGAACAGGAGGGCCAGGTGGACGTCCGGGCCCTGGTAGACCAGCAGGCCCAAGCTGCCCTGGAAGCCAGAGCATGCCTTCATGAAGGAGCAGCTGATGGTGGACCCTGGGAGGAGCTCGGAGGGTGGGGCCACTGGGGCATGGCTGCTCTGGCAGTAGAGCCTGGAGAACGGAGAGTTATAGGTCATCACTATGCTTCATGGGCAGTGTGGCACAGGGGACATGACAAGGAGACTGGGCAGCCTCTACAGACCACACACGAACCTGGAAAGCCATTCATTCGTTCATCAAGAAGACCTTTCAGTCCTGGCTCCAGCATGTCCCATGGTGCTCCTGTGTCTACATTCACTGCGTAAACGTTCACTTACCCACACAATGAGTACTAACCACAGGTGTCAGAAATTGGGCCAGGAGCTAACTCTCCAGCCTATATCAAACGTCATGACACTTGCCAGAATTTACAAGATCTGGTCTCTGTCCGTCCTTCCAATCACCCTTCCTTCCTCCCTCCCTCCCTCCC